TCTCTTTGTGTACACTAAGTGTTATCTGATATTATTGATACTGTTTATTCAGCACAAAAACAACAGAACTCAAGTTCATATTTGGTATGTCTTGTAACCAGCAATTGTTTTGGCAGCAACGGCAACTTTTGGCAAGAGGTTTTAACTGTTCTGTGTGGTTAAGGTACGTTTGAAATGATTACTCTCCTCTCCTCCATTGATAGCCGCCATATAGCTAGGCTTTACACAACAAACTCTATCGATGGAATGCTGCTACGAGCGGCGTAAAACTCTACTCCACTCACTCACTCCTCACTCACTCACTCACTCACTCACTCACAAACCAGCTCAAGCAAGTCCCGCTATGGAGACACTCACTCCACAGGCCATTCACACCTACGTCACCACAGCTTTCCGCGCTCCCATCAATTGTTTCACCAACATTTCATAACTGATGTACACGTAACCGTGACAACCACACGGCCGTACCTATCAGCGTGACATTATCTGCTTGCAATTAAAGCTTTATCGGTAAACTTTCTTTACTCAATGACAACTTAATTCCATATAATTTCGAACCGACACCTTTTTACTCAATTATTGAAATTTTCCGAGGGGACTGTTACGCGCTCGTCAAACTGACATTTTCCATGTGGGTTTCAATGGTGCTCGTCTCGGCGTACACAGCACGGTCGCAACAGCGGGCCACAATCGATGGCTTATTCCTGTCTTTTCTAACACTGCACGCTTTCCTGGGCAATTTGTGGCAATTAGGACAAGATAACCGGCATATTGATGGGGAAGTTGTGTAGGATCGCTTTTCCCAGTTGATTGTGTCACCATGGCGAGGAATGGGACAGGTAAACTGTAACCCTACCCCCCAAAACAAAAATGTGCCCTGGACATTGGGAATGCTCTAAAACAAAATCAGCTGTTCCACTCTTATTTTCACAGAAGAACAGTGTAACATATGTTATATGTGGGATTACACTTTCTCAGTAAAGTACAGATTCTGTACTTTTTGGGTTGAGTTTTTGTGGAAGTCGTGGTGGCTGAACGGGTTGGGCGGCTGACATTGTGTGCTGGCGAACTGGTGCCTGACTCTGAGGGTGTGGGTTCGAATCCCGGATGGGACTCAACCCCCAAAGTACTAGAATCTGTACTTTACTGAGAAAGTGTAATCCCAAATATAACATATGTTACATTTGACCACTTTCTAAATGGCATTGTGTGATCATAGAAGAAAACTGCCTGTGATATATCCTGTCTCTGACCCTAAAGAAATTTCTATAAAATAATATTTAAACACTCGTGATGTTCAATATAAACGGAATTTGAATAGTTTTGTTTTATTTTCTATTTGACGTGCTTTCCGTCTATTTGAGTGACCTATCCGAGGTGAATCAATGATTGGTGTTTGGTCAGTGTTGAGCATGTATGTACGTGAACATAATGACGGTCAATAGAGCATTATACGGTTGTGAAATAGGGTTTAATTCACGTTCAGGACATCCTCGATAATCTCCAGGGTATACGTTCCGATAAATCTCACCTATACCCTAGAGGCATCTACGGTTTTATTACCTCCCTTGGTTGGCTTTTTATCCAATCAGGTCTCCACGCTGGGAAGTTGAGCGTACCAATCACAACTCACTTTCACTTTTTAAATTATCTAACCGATTAAACTTGGCACAATAATATATTGTTTCAGAGGTACTCTGAAAGAGGTAGAAGGAGTTCTTGCATATATTTTTTAAGGTTTCATACCTGTTAATTTGTCTGTATGTTTTCCCCCCAAATCTGAGGGGGAACACTGCGAACAAACTTTCGAAGCTGCGACCGCTGTCTTTGTTGACACTGGCAAGCTCGGTTGTAACGGCGGCTTATCTGATTGGCTACTGTGAGAATGCGGAGCCAGCAAAGGGAGGTAATAAAATCATCGACTCGAACCGTAGATGCATCCAGGCCTAGGGTATAGTGGAGATTTATAGGAAAGTATACCCTGGAGATTATCGAGGATGCGTTCAGGATTCCTTTACTTGTATCGTGTGTGGCTTGTGACAGGTATGTGTTTGCTAGTATTAGTACGGAAGAGTTTTGTAGAGCTTCCCCATTGAAATACCACGCCGAACCCGTGAAGATCCGGGTTAGAATGAGTCTGCAGTAAATCATGCTTATTGTGAAAGGTGACTAACGGGATCGGTTGGTCAGGCTCGCTGACTTGGTAGACACATGTCATCGCATTCGAATAGTGTAGATCGATGCTCACGCTGTTGATCACTAGATTGTCTGGTTCAGACTCGATTATTTACAGACCGCTGCCATGTAACTGGTATATTTCTGATTGCGGCGTAAAACTAAACTCGCTCACTTAGCATGGACACAGGGATTTGTAACGAAAAAACTAGCATCAATCTATAGGCTAAAATTGTCACTGCTGAGGTCTTCGTACAGTGTAAAGGATCTTTTTACATAGAGAACTCGGCAGTGATAATGTTTCATACATGTGCTTGTTGTTGCTTTACAAACCTTTGTGATTTGTTTAGTTGTTGATTAACGCCACACTCAGCAATATTCCAGCTATATGGCGGCGGTCTGTACATAATCGAATCTCGACATGACAATCTAGTGATCAACAGCATGGGCATCGATCTATGCAATTCGGATACGATGACATGTGTCAACCAAGTCAAGGAGTCGGACCATTAGTCGCCTCTTACGACAAGGAAACGTTGCTGAAGAGCAATTCTAACCTGGATCTTCACAGGTTCACAAGCCCGAACACATATACCAAACTGAGACCCATTAGTCTGACAGGGGCCGGTCAGTCCTTGTTTCGTTCCCTATATCCCCAGCGCCAGGCAGGGTATCAACAAATACCTTCTTTAACGTCTTTTGCTACGACGCGGCCAGAGATGTGAACCACCAAACTGCCACAGGCGCACTATCCACTACACCACGGTAAAAGGTCAGGCATGATCTAACGAGTGCAGTAGACCAGATTGAGAAGGATTCTCATATTTTCGCTTAATTTAAAGCGTCTGAGGACACTAATCCGTTGGATAATGCGGGACAACTGTTAATATATGAAATGTTAAGTCTTACCCGAAGGTAAATGAGTGGAACCAAATTCGACCCTGGATGTGAGACGATCATGTGTAAGTTGGGTGGTTGTTTTTTTGTTTAACGCTGCACTCAGCAATATTCCAGCTATATGGCGGCGGTCTCTAAATAATCAAGTCTGGACCAGACAATTCCGTGATCAATAGCATGAGCATCGATCTACGCAATTTGGATACGATGTCATGTGTCAACCAAGTCAACGAGCCTGATCCCGTTAGTCGCCTCTTACGACAATAATATTATTCTAACCCGGATCTTCACTGGTCCGTTGTGTAAGCAAGGGAGTGAGTGAGTTAGTGAATTAACACAGAAGGTCGCATCGGCTTTATGTCTTCATTTTAGACCAAGTTTATGCAGATGCACAAGTGTCAGATGGATAGTTAAAAGCAAATTTGTCCATATATATCATAACAATATGACTCGATGTGTGTTGCCATAGAAACACATCACAACTCAAGCCCTAATGACCCGGCGGCATAAAACACAATTCTCATATGCTGATCATATGGCATTACAGACATATTGTTTTTGATTTAATTTCAAAGTTACCATTTTGAAACTGTATATATTGTATTTGGACAAATGAATACACTAAGGGATGTGGACTGGCAAACTAGTCAGCATTCAAAAAATATTTTAATGTTCTGTTGAAATGATTGTTCTGAATATTACCTATATATTACCTATGTGACGTCACATAGTGGGGATTCCCCGTTGCAAGTGCGCCCCAGCTACCTGTGCTTTTGGTAGGAGGCGAAAAAATAGATCGTGCAGTTGCTCATAATATCACTCATTGGATTACCTATATATTACCTATGTGACGTCACATAGTGGGGATTCCCCGTTGCAAGTGCGCCCCAGCTACCTATGCTTGTGGTAAGAAGCGATAAGATAAATCGTGCAGTTTGCTCATAATATCACTCATTGGATTGTCTGGCCACTGGATTACAGCCGCGGCTGTTGGCAACAGCTGAACACGTTGTTATGGACGTGGCAGTTTAAAAACAAAGAAATGTTAGATACACAGAATTACTGTTTAGGAGACGGGATGCTTGGATATCAAAGCTATTCGGGTTTTCCTTATAGCTTGTAATCCCTATAGCGTGTTTACCGTTAACGTAAATCCGACCTTTTATTCAGGGAGAATTAAAAGACGTTTCAACTCTAATGGAATGGTTCCGCTGTTGACTATAATTTCGTTTCGTGCTACAAAAACGTGCCGACCGTAAGAGGAGAGTGAGTTAGATTTTGCTTCTGAAAAAGTAGCGTTTTTTCGCGAAAACCTAAAATACCTCAACATTACGTTGAGTGAAAGCAAGTGAAATCCCACGACTGTATATTCTGACAAGACTTCCAAGGAGCACATTTAGATTGAGAACAAGCTGCTGACAAAGATGATTATCCTCTCGTTTTCTCATGTTCGGACGAGCCATTATTGGCAGCTATTACACTGACGGTTAGCACAGACTGACAGCTTCCACAGGGGAGCAATGTCGGCAGATAGACCGGTAGCGTCAATTTATCTTTTCCGAAAGATTGGTTCTTGTAATATCCCCGTGTCGTGTGTTCGTCACACTCCATATTGGCTGGTGCGGGGTTTCCGTGCTTTATTCATAGCAATAATAGGTGGAGAACTTTACAATGAAGTGTTACTGTTACAGCCATGCAGAACCTTTGAGTGTGTGAAAGATAAAGAGATGACGAATTATACTGGTGGTGCTATCGGATGTGGCGTTGAAGCCATTGTGATCTGATTGACTTCCAGCAATAATCACTAGTCACCCCCTACTGCTTTTGCCCGAGCTTCATTAATTAGCACACAGCTTCGGGCGGGATGAGGACAAGGGGTGAATCGTGACGTCATAATGCCTGTGCGGCAAGCGTGTCTCGAGTCCCACCTCGAGGTTCGGAGGCTGACACGAACTGAGGGCAAGAGTGTCCCTCCTCCCCCTCCCCAGTGCCGTGATTTCCCATTTCCACCGCAAGACCTCCCTTGGTCGAGGTACGTGTTGATCTGCTGATCGATATATCCCGGCGTCTCGCAGCTTGACTGTCATTAAATACATCTTGCAGCTCTTCCGTGTCAACGCTGAAGCGTCGGGCTCTAGGATCACCTTTGTCACTGGGCATTTGTCGCCACCTTCCCTTCATCCATCCATTCTGCGTCTGGAGACCGTCGCTGTAAACACGGGGCAGTGTTCCAGCACCCAGGTAAGTCAAGACTCCTTCATTAATTCCCACTTGGACACTAAAAGCATATTGCAGGAAGCTCATTTCCTACAAGCTCATAAATAATCATAAATGACCCCCAATCAATCTCCAGCATCGGTATCTGTGTATGAATATCGATCTTAATGTATATCAATCACAACCAATTACAATGGAAGTTGATAGGCGTGTCACATAAACCCGGCTCTGACTTGGTAATACACTGTTAGCCTTCCACCGGGGTTATTCTGTCAGTGTCATGACACCTTTCATCCAAGCACGTGAGCAGTGAGATTTAACGAGATTTTTTTTACCTTCCTTGATTGACAGTTGCCATACATATTTCAGATACAGCGGAGGCTGTCGGCATCATTTGCAGAGATGTTGTCGTCAGGTAGACCCTCCACCGGGCAGCTGTGTCCACGGGGTGGTCATCGTCTCCCGAAAAGCAGGGCCCACTACCGCGTTGTCGTCATGGGAGCGGCGGCCGTGGGGAAAAGTGCCATCATATCCCAGTTTCTGTACGACAGATTCGTGAAAGAGTACAAGGCCACGGTGGAGGACCTCCATCGAGGGGAGTACGACGTGAACGGCATGCACCTCATCCTTGACATCCTCGATACGTCGGGGACGCATTCATTTCCAGCAATGAGGAAACTAGCAATAGCTACTGGAGATGCGTTTGTGCTGGTATATTCCGTGGACGATGATTCCTCTTTCTCAGCTGTGAAACAGCTTCGTGACGAGATAATGGAGGAAAAGAACAGCGAAGACGTCCCAATCGTCATCGCCGCCAACAAGACCGACGTTACCGAAGAGCGGAGGGTTATCGGGCGTGAGACGGCGGAGACGCTTGTATGTATTGAATGGGGGAACGGTTATATTGAAGCCTCAGCCAAAGATAACATTAACATTGTTGGCATTTTCAAAGAAATTTTACGACAGTCCAATATCCAATATGCCCTCAGCCCAGCCGTTCGTCGTCGACGTCGATCCATGCCGGCAGTGTTGGTACAGCGACGACAGCTCGATCCTCCAAAAAGACATAGTTGTTCGTTAAATTGATAAAACCTGACAGAAAATATGTCCAACATTCTACAACAGCCACCCATGCTATTCGTTGGGATATCTGTGTTTCCCCAAATCCTATGGATCAGTTGTTGCATCCTTTTCTTATGCAAGAATACTGTTGCAAAGATGTCTTCGTGTGTGTTCTGGGAGACATCATGCCCCTTTGCCGTGATGTAGAGAATGGTCGGCGTGGCGTTTTTGCACGCTGTACTTTGAAACATTGACGGTGGGTTTTCTATCACAAACCAATACTTTTAACATTCGACTCACTAACTCTTAAGTAAATCATTCTCAAAATTGTATTCTGTTATTGGAAGTGTTTGGGACGCGGTAATTTTGTCTCAGATACGTCGCAAAAACCGTTCCGAACTGTACTAACTGGTTCTACAACGAAAGTCATTGATACACCGCGAACTGAAAGAAGCAGTTCTAGTAACCACAGACTGGGAGTAATTCCGAACTTTCCGTGCCTGTACATGTTTTGTGTAGTGTCGTACGATAGTTCATATTGATAATATTGACAGCATGAAAATGTTGGTTCATTATGACTTATATTCCTGGACATTTCATAGGGATGTATAAAATATCCCTGTTAACAGTTGAGGAGTATATGTTGATAAGTTATGATATATATTGATAAAGATATTATATATGTTGATAAAATGATGTTACATGTTGATAAAATAATGTTATGTGTTCATAAAATAATGCTATATGTTGATATATCATGTACATACTTCTCGATCAGTAAACGGCGTAAAATTATCAATGATTCGTTGGTTTATCGAACAGTATGGGTGAGTTTATCATGTAAATACTGGCGTGTCATGTCAGAACCCAGGTTCGATTCCACGTTTGAAATGGAAGATATATGTGATGCCCACCCCGTGACTGCCGTGAGGACAGGTTTGTGTAATACCAAAGCGGCGTAAAACAAAACCCACTTACTATTTTTGACCCGCTATCAGTATGTACTTTTATATCATATAACTAGTACATATCTTCACAAGTGTTCAGGTTTCTGAAGAGTATATCGACAGCCTTCACTTTGGGGTTTGTTTGCCAGTCTCGATCGAGATATATGCCTAAAATGTTGGTTTATCATTAGGGACAGTCCATTTAGTATGGGGTGGGCAGGTGCGATTAAAGGAAGAGGTGGCGTGGATGCTCAAATGACACAATTCCATTTTTGAAATATGAAAATGAGGATTTAAATCAGGATGCGGTATCAGGATGCGTTTGCTTGTGTGTGCGTGCGCGCGCGTGTGTGTTAGGACGATGTCATGATACGTGTCTTGGGGTTGGGTGAGGCGGCGCCATAAAATAATGTTTCATAAAATGGGAGGCTGTCAACAAATTTGATACAGCCCTAGTCCAACCCCATCCACTTGTAATAAGTAACCTGTCCGTTATATAAAACCAAAAAAGCAACGGGTCCACAGAGTGCGTTGCATGGACAGGTAACTGGCAGGTTCTATACTCGCCAGTAATATTCTAATCAAATTGTATGCATTCGGACTTAACACTATGGCAAACATAATGAGAAGATTACCAAACAGGAAACCATTATCTCATGCAATGGCTTTCATTTCCCACCAGATATGTTATTCAAAAGCTTCTAATTTCCTGTCATAAGCTCCTCTATGGCAAACAGAATGTGCCGGTTGTGCCGATACCGTCACCGGCGTCGTCGGAACGGTTACCCTGGGGAACCACTAGACGATGACGTTGGGCAGTTATTCAGACGAAACCTGGCTGGAGATTAGTGGGGGATGTTCTTAACGACGAGGGGCTGAGAAATGCCAGCTGCTTGTTAGAAACGGGGCCTTGTAACTGAACATTCTTGTAGATCATTATATTTACATGTTTATATGGGAAGGTCTTGCAGATGCGCCGTATTCAGCCGCCCACACTGCCTGGTATTACCTTTGCTGCACAAGCAGCGAGTCTCCTTGGCGCCGTTACGGTGATAAAGCATGGTACACGCAGTACGATATAGGAATGGAATATTAATCAATAGGATAACGAATCTTTAAGGTGAAATAGTGTGTACTGATATGTTATTTAACGGAGGTTTGTTTGTTTGTTGTTTAACGCCGCATACAGCAATATTCCAGCTATATGGCGGCGGTCTGTAAATAATCGAGTCTGAACCAGACAATCCAGTGATCGACAGCATGAGCATCGATCTACGCAAATGGGATACGATGAAATGTGTCAACCAGGTCAGCGAGCCGACCAACCGATCCGTTAGTTGCCTCTGAGGACAAGCATGGGTTGCTGAAAACCAATTCCAACCCAGATCTTTCAAGGGACTTAACGTACATGTAGGTAAATCACGGCGGCATGTCAATAACTGAGTCTGGACCGGTCAAACCAGTCATTGATGTTTTGAGCAACACACTAATCTCGGGGTACGATTACATGCAATCAGCCAAGGTATCTCAGTACGATCAATTCTGTCTGTAGGACGAGCATATGTTGCTGGGGATCTAACGCCGAATGTCCATGGGTGTTGATTAACAAGACATTTCGATGGAAAAGGGGATGTAGATATGAGAGCCAGACTGGATATTGTGGTGGGTGACTGGATATCGTGGTGGGTGACTGGATATCGTGGTGGGTGACTGGATATCGTGGTGGGTGACTGGATATCGTGGTGGGTGACTGGCTATCGTGGTGGGTGACTGGATATCGTGGTGGGTGACTGGATATATCGTGGTGGGTGATCGTGGTGGGTGACTGGATATCGTGGTGGGTGACTGGATATCGTGGTGGGTGACTGGATATCGTGGTCGTGGTGGTGACTGGATATATCTGGTGGTGGTGGGTGACTGGATATCGTGATATATGGTGACTGGATATCGTGGTGGTGACTGGATATCGTGGTGGTGGTGGATATCGTGGACTGACTGATATCGTGGTGGTGGGTGTGGGTGACTGGATATCGTGGTGGGTGACTGGATATCGTGGTGGGTGACTGGATATCGTGGTGGGTGACTGGATATCGTGGTGGGTGACTGGATATCGTGGTGGTGGGTGACTGGATATCGTGGTGGGTGACTGGATATCGTGGTGGTGGGTGACTGATATCGTGGTGGTGACTGATATCGTGGAGGTGACTGGATATCGTGGTGGTGGGTGACTGTGACTATCGTGGTGGGTGACTGGATATCGGTGACTGGGTGGGTGACTGGATATCGTGGTGGTGGGTGACTGGATATCGTGGTGGGTGACTGGATATCGTGGTGGGTGACTGGATATCGTGGTGGTGGGTGACTGGATATCGTGGTGGGTGACTGGATATCGTGGTGGTGGGTGACTGGATATCGTGGTGGGTGACTGGATATCGTGGTGGTGGGTGACGTGGTGGGTGACTGGATATCGTGGTGGTGGGTGACTGGATATCGTGGTGGGTGACTGGATATCGTGGTGGGTGACTGCATGTATACGGATAATGCATTTAGTGGTTCATAAGTAGAAACACGGTTTTGATCGGGTCAGATGGGCCAGATGAATAACGTCATGGGCTTGTACTGTTTAAGAGAGTAACGTGTTGGTGCAAGTTTAGGGAATTTGGGTCGTTTGGGTTGTCTGTTGTTTGGGCCATAAACGCCGAACTCAGCAACATTCCATATGACGGTCTTACAATATGTCATTATCGAGTATGGACCAGTGCAACTGACTAACTATCACGAGCAACGCCCCACGCCGTCACTGAATCTGATCATCCTATCGACTGAGTTGGACGGGTCGTGGTGCAGGTGAAAGCAGCTGTGATAATCAGGACAGCTAGGACACAGCATAGATTAATTAGGTTAAGTCGGGAGTCTCTGATTATAATTTGGTTTCGAGATACAGACGTCAGTGGAGATGTCAGAAACTTCGATGCTGATTGGTTCGTTAGAAAATTCACCTGACCACGTGACCTCACCTGGATGCGTTCTCTGATCTTCACACAAAAAGGTAATGATAAGAGTTGACAGCCGGCAAGAATGAAAGTGGGTTCTGTCAGGTTGTGCATGGTTGGTTTACAATCACAGTTACAAAAGCACGTTATTAGATACAGGATGCGAATTATTGTTTATCGGGGATTTTTTATGCTGATGAGTGTGCCACAGTTGTGCTAAAGTCACGCCATGTTAAATCTTGGAAACGGAATCACATACTTGACATCAAGAGCACTGGTCACCGCCGCCAACGCCGTCGCTAACAGTAATACAGTCTCCACCAAACCACTCATTTTACCACCCGAGGCCCCAATAATTGTATAACATCTTTATGTATGTTTCACACTGGTATACCATGAGGTTAGACTTGCCGGGTGTTACTACTTGAATGTCATCTGTGAGTGAGAGTGAGTGAGTTTAGTTTTACGCCACACTCAGCAATATTCCAGCTATAGGGCGGCGGTCTGTAAATAATCGAGTCTGGACCAGACAATCCAGTTATCAACAGCATGAGCATCGATCTACGCATTTGGGAACCGATGACATGTGTCAACCAAGTAAGCGAAACTGACCACCCAACCACCCATCCCGTTACTCGCCTCTTACGACAAGCATGGGTTACTGAAGATCAATTCTAACTTGGATCTTCACGGTTGAATGTCATCTGTAACAAAATTCAACCTTATATACATAAACACGTTTAACATGTAACACGTCTTAACACTAATTGTTGTAACTACAGTGGCGCTAGACTCAAGAAATTGTCAATCTCTGGTAGTTTCAACTATTCAAAACTCTCTTTGATTGTCTGCTAACCGTAATGTTATGACGTCGAGCCATATATGCTACTCAACATTTGACAAGAATCGCCACACATTTGACGAAAGCTAACTACTTTGGTGCTTAGTAAATGTTGAGTAGTGTAGCAATGAATGGATGATGAGCGTCTCACACATACACACATACCTACATACTCACACGCATTGCACGCACGCACACACACACACATACATACATATATATTAACATGCACTGCCTGGTACTGGTACACTTCCACATAACTTCGGTAATAAAAGTTAAAATTAAAAATTAAAATATGTAGGTGAAGGGCACATACCTTAAATTAATTGTCTCTGAATGTGCATATAAAGTTATGGTCACTCTTTTCTCAGTCAAGATTCCTTACTTATCCAATAATGTGCTCTACACACATGCAATATAGTCAGGTCCTCTGCGACAATCGAAGTTGGGTTCGAGGTTCTAGACAAGCACAGTTGTGTCATTGTTTGCCGCACTCGGCCATATTCCAACTATATGGCGGCGATCTGTAAATAGTCGAGTCTGGACCAAACAATCCAGTGATCAACAGCAGTGATCTCTAGGCAATTGGGATATGATGACATGTGTCAACTAAGGCAGCGAGCCTGACCACCCGATCCTGTTAGTCGCCTCTTACGACAAGCATGGGTTGCTTTCGACCAGTTGTAACCCGGATCTTCACGGGTCACATAATCGACAGAAGCTAGCCCAGATGTGTTACAGTGTACTTCAGGGCTCTGGTTTGGTATCAGCGAACCATGGAGGATACATAGCCCATAACGTAAAAACCTTTGTTCCTTTACCCATGTGATGATATCCTTCTTATATACCAATAAAGGGCTAACGTTGAAAATGTCTGAGGCTAAGAAAACACCATAAGTCCGTCAAATCAATTAAGGCGTATACAAATCCGATTAAACATGCATATAGATCGTAGGCAGAAAGAAACTGGGTTGTACAGGCATGCTTCTATTGGAAGTG